TGGCTCTGATCAGATATCTCCATTGGAATATTACCCAGTTCAAGAAATTGCTAACAACTTGGATTGGGTTAACGTGATGGTCTATGACCTTTTCACCCCAGATGGTTACCCAACTGAGACACAACCACCTGCACCATTGAAAAACCCACAAGGCCAATTCAGTGGAGATGAAGGGATTACAAAATGGATTCAATTAGGATTGCCTAAAAATCAATTAGCATTTGGGTTACCATTTTATGGCTATTCATGGCGTTTGGTGAATGCTGATGACCATGGATTATTTGCTAAAGCAAATTCTGGTGATGGGTCTATTAGGTATGGGGATATCAGGCAATTCATAAGAAATCAAATGGCACAGACTGTGTATAACTCCACATTTGTCACAGATTATTGTTATTCTGGGACAACATGGATTGGTTATGATGATACTCAGAGTGTCACTGCAAAGGTTAATTATGCCAAAGAAAATGGATTGATTGGGTATTTTGCTTGGCAAATTGGCTCTGATGACGATAATTGGACACTTTCTAAAACTGGTGAGTACTGTGAATTAGTTTTATGTTCTGCAACTATATCCCAATTTTTTTGCAATGAAATAGAACATCGATACACATCATTAATAGCTTTAGTTTATCAGTATGTTTTTCTGAGTTAAACTCCTTTAAAAATAAGTGGCTCTTTTAGTTGATGGCTACTATGAATTGTCTCTCTACGTTCTTCTTTGTCTGTATTATATTTCTAATGGCTAAAATCTTATACCGATTGAAATATTGAAATTTTGCTTAATAAATTGTGGTTATTGTTTTTTAAAAACTACCAAGTTTAATTTGTATGTAACATAAGATAATGTCTCAAAGTATTCGGGTGGTAAGCAGTTAAGAATTTGGGGTCGTGTTGTCTGCATTATAAATAGAGAAAGAGTCATTTGACTCGAACGTTACTTTGGTTATGGGTACCTTTTGCCCTTGATTGAAAGAAAAAGTCGAGGATAAAAATAAATTCAAGGGAATAAAAATCCCATAGCGTTTTGCCAACGCATACATTTTTCTAAGTTCTTATTGTGGCATATGAATAATTATGTTGAGGGGATATGATACTTTAAACGGTAAAGATAGTTTTACAGACAAAGCACTAGTTAAATTTAAGGAAAACATATGAAACAGCTCCGCACACATCATGCGAAGAACAATATCTCAAAAGGGTAAAGATAGTTACACACACCAGTAAATTTAGATTCCTCGCAAAAAAGAGAGAGCGGATGACTGATTTTTTTTTTTTAAATGTGTAAATAATGAGAGAGGTTATACTTACAACCTATTTTTCTTTACAACCTCTTATAACCAATATCTTAACTGTTGATTGACGGTTAAGATTTTCGCAAATAAAATTTATTAATTAATTATTAATTCGCAATAAATCTTAACCGTTGATTGACAGAAATCAACGGTTAAGATATTAATTGTAAGAGGTTGTAAAGGAAAATATGTTGTAAGTATAACCTTCTCCGTAAATAATAACTGTTATTTATTGGCTTTTTCACCCTTTTGCCCCTTATTAATTAATTAATAACTATTTTGTCCCTGATTCGAAACTATCTACCAATCTGCCTCTCTTTAATCGACTACCTTACATTTTTAATCGACTAAACGATTGTTGGGAGATTTAATCGACTAAATCTCCCTACTTAATCGATTAAAATCATACTGACTTATTTTTTTGTGTGTGTCAAATATGAAGATATAGTCGACTAAATAGGGAGATTTAGTCGACTAAATCTTTCAGCAACCATTTTTTGTCTGTTTTGGCCATTTAGTCGATTAAAAATGCAAGGTAGTCGACTAAAGAGGGGCAGATTGATAAATAGTTTCGAATCAGGGGCAAAATGATTATTAATTAATTAATAAGGGGCAAAAGGGTGAAAAATCCGTTATTTATTAGCCACACTTTTCAATGTTTATGTGTGATACAAGTTTGCGTAAATAACATTACCTTATTTTAAAAGTGAGTAATTGAGACATTAAGATAAAATTCAACATCAATTTATTTAAATAAAACTGTATGCCATTAGGAATAATTATGTGATGTTCTGTATTGCAGTTAGAATAGTTTAAAAACTAGCTTTTGTATATCATACAAATATACCAATCTGCATAGTTTCAGCTCTTTTGATCTTTCAAATTTCTAATTAAATAATAATCTTTTATTGTACTTGCAGCTTTTAATGCTTGGGGATCATAAATACGAGGGCAACAAGACAGCTCAGAGGCGGATGCTATATTGCTATTATATAATCAGTTTAGTTTGTAATAATAATAAGGCCAATAAAGATATAAATACTTGTATTCCATGCACCTTTACAGTCACGGCACTCTTGGGATTTGTTTGTGGGTTAAATTATTCTTCAAATCTAGTTTGTTCCTGACTGGTATTAGCCTTGTGAGGGAAGTTGGTAGGGAATAAAATGCAATTGCCAATAGTTGTCTATATTAATTTGCCAAACTTATATTGATAGTAGTCTAAGGGCTAGTTTGTATTGTCTTTTCAAGAAAGTTCTTTTTATTACTTTTTTATTTTAAAAGTATTTTTTATAAAAGTTACAATTATTTAGATTTTTTAAAAAATATTTGATTTTTGAAAAAAATATTTGACTTTTGACTTCTGCTTTTTTTAAAAGTTAAATTTTTAACTTCTGAAAAAAGTAAATTTTTGTCTTTTTTTATGACTTCTGGATTTTTTAGAAGCAGACATCCAAACAGACTTTTTTCAAGAAATGTTTTTTTTTCTTAAAAAAGCAACTTTTGAAAAAAAAAAAGTCCATCCAAACGGACTCTAATTCCTTATGTGCATGATAGATGCAAAGTTCGAGTAACTTCATATGAGTTTTTTTAGTTCAGGAACTAATTAATATGAAGGTGGTGGTAAACTTTGAGGACTAATAATATAATGATTTACTATATTGCAGAAGTCCTTCAACTAGTAAGAGCTTGTTTGTATGGACTTGTGAAAAAAGTCTTTTTTATGACTTCCTTATTTTAAAAGCGCTTTCTATAAAAGTTACAGCTACTTAGATTTTTAAAAAATATTTAATTTTTGAAAAAAAATATTTGACTTTTGATTTCTGTTTTTTTTAGAAGTTAAAATTTTTAGCTTCTGAAAAAAAATAAGTTTTTGATTTTTTTTACGACTTCTGCTTTTTTTAAAAGCAGACATTCAAATAGATATTTTTCGAGAAGTGTTTTTTTTCTTTAAAAAAAGTAATTTTTGAAGAGAGAAAAGCTCATCGAAACGAGCCCTAAATTCATGCTTACCACTCGAGCCACCTCTTCTAGGTTCTTCTGACCTCTTTCTAGTTGTAATTTTCTTTCTTTTCTATCTATTTGTCTTTTCATTTGAGATGAATAAAAATTGTATTTTGCTAGATGAAAATTGATGGAAAGAAACATGAACGTTAAAAATTGATTGCTTCGTAGCATATGCCTCTTTGGGCTACTATTGGCGGATCCTACAAAAACATTGCCAATTTTTTTTAGTAAAAATAAGTGTTTAATGCATCTCATTAATAGTAAATATAGCGAAATACAGTCAAACTTTCCCCCCTTCTCATGACTACTGTATAACATTATTATCACGGTCAAGTGATGACTAATGAATAGGAATCACTTTTCTTTTGATTCGAATTCCAAATCCTAAAAATACAAAAGTAAAATACGAAATGTTAATTGCGAAATGATTCTGGTGTATTCCTGGCTACAACCTTGGGATATGCTCCAACCGGGAAGGAGCGTGGATTTATGCAAGGTGATGGTAGAACTGGACTCCCAGGTGGCGATTAACCTTATGCAAGGTGAAATAAATACATCATGTCGCTTTCAGATAAAATAATAATAATAATGTCACTTTACGTTATAACGTGTCCAGCTAAAATGCATTTGATATATTACTTTTCCTTCTTTTTTTTAACTTTGAGTGAAAATATTTCATAAAAATTACTCCGTTAAGGTTCAATGGTTAATTTTACATGAATTGAGAAAATAAAAATAAAAATTCCTTTAAATTATTACTTATATATATATTGGTATAACCTGGAAGTATCTCCATTTAATCTCGTTAAAGTACGGCCCTGAAAACTACCCCTCATTGAAATACCAGATGCATTGAGCTTTGTTATGGGACAAAAAATGAGACTAATCTCTCGTCCTAAAAGAGAGACATGTCCTTTGGCCTTCAATTTTTTTTCAAAAATTTGCTTAAGATAAGATTTGAAACCACTGACCCAAACAAATCCTTGAAAACTCTGTGTCAACCCAAGTAATCTTGGGAGTTTAAATTATTATATTTTACTTCAACCTTTTTAAGTCAAGTTAAATAAATTGGATAACTTTTGTGTCAAATACGTATAACAAAAAGAATATACATAATAATTTAGGGCTTTGTATCTTTTATTTAATAGGAGAGGAGAGACTTTGCAGCCGACTCTAATTGTAGGTGGGACCCACTAACATTTTTTTCTTTTTTCACTCACATGTGGGCTCCACTTGCTCTTTTGTGTCTACAACATAAGTCATTTTGCAGTAACATAAGATGTATTTAACCCAATAATTTATGTATTTGAAATTGAAAACTTAAGCTAAAGAGTGGAGAGTACTAACCATCTTGGTACATTACTTTTCCTTTCATGCACATGTATTAGCTTTTTAATACAAATTCTGTGAAAGAAAAATGTAAATATGACCGTGCTGAAATTTTAATATTAAAAATTTATTTAGCGAGCAAAATTTTAACTTGTAGTAAAATCTGGGATTCGTACCTCGAAATTATTATTACGTAAAATATTATTGGACTTAAAAGCAGCAAACCAAAATGGAACGAGTAAAAAACTAGAGGCGCGTACAAACCAGTGGTCAAAGGTAAGTTACTGTGGTTTGAAACCAGAGTAACTTACCTTTTGACCCAGGATGGCCTTCAATTGAGTTGACACCTTTAAAATCAGTGCCACTACAAGGACCAAAACCTAGTAATCTACAATTCCAGTGGTCAAAGGTAAGTTACTGTGGTTTAGGATGGCGTTCAATTGAGTTGACACCTTTAAAATCAGTGCCACTACAAGGACCAAAACCTAGTAATCTACAATTCCATCGCGAGTCATTTGTGTTGGGTTGATAGCAGAAAACATATAGTAAGGAAGAAGGAACGGAATCGAAATGGGAAGCGAAGGTGAGAAGAAACCAAGAATCATGTGCCTTCATGGGTTCAGAACCAGTGCAGAAATCCTCAAAAAACAGTTGCACAAATGGCCCCTATCGGTGCTCGACAACCTCGACCTCGTTTTCGTCGATGCCCCTTTTCCTTGCCAGGGCAAATCCGACGTCGAAGGGATTTTCGACCCTCCTTACTACGAGTGGTTTCAATTCAACAAGGTTGCTTCTCACACTCACTATTCTATTTTCTTCTCTTGTTAAAAAAAAAAAAAACTGGTTATTGAATCTGTTGATGGGTATCATATCACAGGAATTTACGGAGTATACCAACTTTGATGAATGCCTTCAATATATCGAGGATTGCATGATCAAGTACGGACCTTTTGATGGTCTTCTTGGTTTCTCACAGGTGAGCCTAATTGAATTATGTTCACTTGTTTGGATATTAAGAAATGCAATTTGAAGAATCTTAATCTGTTGAGGTCTTTGAATCGGACAAATTAGGGTGCTATACTATCAGCTGGGCTGCTAGGTCTTCAGGAGAAGGTACGCGGAAAACTGGAACAAATTATGTGATTAAGAGGATTCCGGAGTGGATCCAAAAAAATGGTGCTCATGTGATTATGTTATTTGATCACAAATATTCATTGATGATGAGATAAGAAAGAAAAAAAGTGTATAATTTTTAAATGAGTGATTGTGATCAAATAACATAACCTGACCACTTTTTCACGTGAGAAGATCCACTCCCGATTCAGAATTAGTTTTTTGTTTTGTCAAGAGTTAGAAATTAACTAAGAATAGCTATTTTATGTGATTTGTGGGGTATTGTTTTTCATGACTTGATGTGCAGGGCGTGGCCCTCACGAAGGTTCCCGTGGTGAAATTCATAATAATAATAGGAGGGGCAAAGTTTTTGTCACCATCGGTGGTTGAGAATGCATATTCTACCCCAATTAGCTGCCCCTCCCTTCATTTTCTAGGTATGTATGTTCCATCACTCTGTTATATTCTTTTGATTTTGGTTTTTTGTTTTTTGTTTTTTTAAAATGCTTCCTTCCTTTTAACTATTGCTCAGTTTTGTAACAATCAAACTTGTTAAATAATGCATTGCATTTGACACTGCCAAATAGCCTCATTACATGTAACTATAATTCATACTATTATCAAACTAAATGTTTTTGTTTTCAAAGTAACCAAGGTTAACATATCATCTGAAATTTACTCATTGTAAACTTATAATCATACGGCAAAGCAAAGGTTATATAATTAATGGGATAAATTAATCTCATCTTAGACAAGAGAGTTTGTCTTATGTGAAATAAACTTGACGTGGGTCCCACTAAAAAATAAAAAATAAAAAAATCAAAATGGGATCCATCTTGATTTTGTGTCTAGAAGCTATTCATGAGATTAGTTTATCTCATAATTATTTAATGGGTTTTATTAATCTCCTTCCACATAAGATAGTTATCTTATGTGGTAGAGAGAAAATGGGTGGGTCCCACCATTACAAGAAAAAAGAAAAAGAAGAAAAAAGTAGAGTGCGAAAATCGAAGTGAGAGAAAATGAGATAAGTTACCTCTGTAAAATGAGAGTAATATTTCTCTTAATTAATATTAAAGGACATGGTCCAGGATTCTAAACGGAATAAATATGGAAGTAGTATTTGGTAACGAAATCTTGCCCTGAAAATCTCCGGTTGTGCTGCAGGGGAGACAGATTTCTTGAAGCAATATGGGTGTGAACTAATAGAATCCTGTGTTGAACCCATGGTGATCCATCATCCCAAAGGTCACACAATACCAAGATTAGGTGCGGTATTAAGCTACTATATGTATCTCTGTTATTATCTGTTTGTATTAATCAGGTGCTCAGATAATTTATTATTTCATGTTTTCCTTAATTTTGTTTGAGTTATTGATAGGAATAGTTATTCTCTTTTTCTTTTCAGACGAGGAGAGTTTGAAGACCGTGATGACTTTCATCAAAAGAATTAAAAAAGATGCCTGAGCAATGAGTTTAGACGAAAAGCCAATGCCTCACTTTTTGAGTTTCTTTTTTTTTTTTATAAATAAAGTTATGAAATGATTATATTTACAATTTTTTTATTTATAAACTGTACTATGTACCCCGAATAATATAAAGACTTGAAGTTGAATAAAAGTACATAATTAAGTTTGTAAATAAAAAAAATATAAATATAATCTGCTCATAAAGTTATACTTTTTTCTCAAGCATAATTAATGAAATTACTGTGTTCTTTCTTTTAATAAATTTCATACAATTGTGCTGCTGTTTTTTTCTCCTCGTAATACCTCATCAAGAATATATTGAACTTTATGCCAAAAATAGCTACAGCTTTCCCATCTCCTATGATATTCTTCTTCTTCCCACTTTTGATGATTCGTGAGTTCAAATTTTACCTGGGCTCTGAACCCTGAACGACCAACTTAGCTTCCATACGAATACAAAATAAGGCAGTTAACTTATCTTGTGCTTAAAACAAGGTTCCTTTTATATATATATATATATATATATATATATATATATATATATATATATATATATGTTGGGAAATGCATTCATCATGTTGTAGAAATCAAAAAATTTATCATATTAAGAAAAAGACAAACCAATTCATTGAATAAAGTTTCCCATCACTATTTTTAATATTATATATACTTTGTCTTTTTCTTAACATGACAACAAAATGATTCCTACAACATGAGAGATATAACCCCCATATATGTTATATAAATTCCTACAACCATTTTTTAATTATATATTTCTGAAAGTACATAGTTATAATTTATGAAGCATCGACACTTCAAAAATCCTGACGTGTCGTGTCCGATTCTCACCGACACTCTGACACTTCCCGACACTCCAATACTCGTTGCAAAGACTCAAAAAAGGTTCAAAAGTTACGTTGCATTGCATTTTGAGTTCTAACTATTAGATTCATTAGATTACGATTATGATTTTATTGAGTTTAATATAAACATTTGGGATATATTATGTTTCTTTGCAAAATTGATGGGTATTATAAGTTTAACTTTATTTTTTTGTTAAATTATTGAATACTAAATATAATATACACTACATAAATTAAAAATATTATATAATATCAAAATTTGTCCTAACGTGTCAAAATTTAACATTTTTTAGAATTAACGTGTCGGAGTGTCGTGTCGTATCCCATGTCCCGTGTCGGTGCAACATAAGTTATATATAATATTAAAAATATTATTTTTTAACTATGTACTCTCGGGAGCACATAGTTAAAAAATTATTGCTAATTTTCTTTTAATTACATACTTTCAGGAGTACATAATTAAAAAACAATTGCAGGAATTCCTGCAACATGATAAACACATTTCTCTTAAAAGAATTTATAACCAAAACTTTAGATTAACTTACCGTATCACTTTTAAAGATGCAAATGTGAAAAAACTTGTGTCAACTATTAATATAAAATTATTAAAGTAATCATCATTTACTAATTTAAGTTTTTATGTTAAATTATTTTATTATATATTACCAGAATTTGTGATCAAGTGATTATTAATTTGAATGCTATGAACTAAAAAAGTTAGAGACACTTCAAGCCCAAAGGACATTTGCGTAAGGGACTGTATTTAAAAGATATAAAATAATTAATGTAACTATTATTTATTGATTTAAGGTTTTTAGTTGAATTGATTAATGAAATTGAAAATCATGGTTTTAAAGTGCAACCATATAATGATAATGTTATCTTAATATGATATAAATCATGGTTATCTTATCCAATATTTGAGTGAAACCATATAATACCATATTATGATATAAATAGACAAAATATTATTTTCTAACATAATTTTATATGATTTTTCAAAATTAATTTTCAAACTACTTTTTTTACTTATTTACACATTATCATTATTTTTAAAATATTAAAAAAAATAATAGTCACAATTTTAAATAAAATATATTAAAATGCATAGATAACTTATGGTATTTTAAAATAATAAATTTATATCCTCACCAATTTTTTTTTGAAAATTATGTTTTAAATTAATTGTCAATATTGGTGGTCGAAGGCTACTGATAATGGTTGGTGTAGTGGGTGGCCAGTTTAAGTGGTGGCGGTTGTGTAGGTTGGTGGCAATGAATGGTCATGATGATGCTAATAATGATTGGTGACAATTGTGGTGGCTAATTGATAGCGCTGGCAGCGGTGGCTACTGGCTAGTTATAGTGGTGATTGTTAGTGTATGGTGATTAGGGGTAGCATAACAGTGGTCCAACGTGGTGGTTGGTTGGTGGCGATGGTGATGGTGGCTAATGGCGACGATGATGATGATGGTGGCTAACTGGTGCCAGTGGTTGGTGGAAGAATCAATATAAATTATATCTCAGCAAGTTGAAGATTCAATTTGCCCATACATGGGACAGGTACATTATCCCTTAGAAATAATATAATAAACCTGGATACTCTCAAATGGGAATCAAGGTAATTATGAATGTAAACCTTAATACTTCTCGATGAGAAACCTGGGAAATTTTTTGATACCCGGATAAGTATAAAAACCTTTTAAAGTCCAGATAATCTTTAAAGCTATATGCGCCCCGACAGCCCGGATACCCAGACTGCTGCTTGAGGGGCAACTGTTATGAACTCATATGTGAGGCCCATTTAATATAAAGGGCAATCAAAATACATATATGATATAATCAAATGAGGATATCTATCAAATATATTAATCCTAATACGATAACGTTAAACATGGGCTTGGGCTGCTAGAAGAGGCACAAAAGGTCCAGAATCCTAATATCCACGGGTAAACTCTATAAATAAGAGGTAAAACCTACATGTATAACTACTTTATTGCTATTACTGTTATGCTATCTCTGTGCACACAGATCACCCTTTTAGCAAAGCCGTTCTTTATTCTTAGTGCACAGTGATCTGCTAAACTCAAAGGTATCTAATTCACAGATACCGTAGGAAGAGCACCTAGATCCAAAAGTAACTCACTAGCTTATTAGGCTAGACATCTCTGTCTTCAGGACAGAACACCTTCTAACCACACTAGCTATGGTTTGAGCTTGATTTTCAAATTACTGCAGTATATAATTCTGTTATAAACTTTTCTCTATTAAAAAACTTTTCTAAGTCTAATTTTTATAAAATAACCCTTTCAGATCAACTTCAAACCATGTCTTTTATTAGGCTAGGTTGCATCTTAAACACCCTAACTTACAATTTATCATAAATGTCATATTCATATGATCTTAAAAAATAGAATAAAATAATTCGTGTGCCTTTATTTAATGACTTAATTTGGAGAGAATTAGTTACATGATATGATATGAAAACCTATAATCAAGTGATCTAAAGTTCAATCCTTATTACCTCAATCATCAGCTGTATTTAAGAACAAAAAAAAAGGTTAAGTGTTGCTCGCAAAAAGAATAACCATATTCCATAGATTGGCATTGTCTCAAGTAAACACTGTGAAACCAATGCGCTTAAAATGAAGAGTTCATTTATACAAGAGTTTTGATGATAACAAACAAGCATAGAAGCGACGTCAAAGATAATACAACTCGCAACAATCAAAAGTTCAAGGAAGCAATTCAAACAAGACAACAAGAGCAAATCATTCAACACTCAAGATCAAGATTGAAACATGCTCTTGAGAGCTTAGATCTAAATGTAAAGTTAATTGATTAATGATGCATAAATGAACTCAAAGGATATTTAACTCTATGCATGCCTTATCCATGTCATCAATCACTTGAAAGCTTCAATTATTATGAAAAAGACCCTTGACATATTTCGTAACCTCAAAACATGCTTTACAAGTCAAGGAAATACATTAAAAGTGATTAGAGACGAAAATAAATGCATTACAACTCATAAAACTGCATTATTGATGTTCTGTCAAGAAAGTATTCGAATACTTTCTTGACGATATTCGAATACTTGTGATGAGAACAAAGTATTCGAATACCTTAAGAAAAGTACTCGAATACCTTAAGAAAAGTATTCGAATACTAGATGAAGTATTCGAATACTTCACGAAAAATATTCGAATATTTACTGGACAGTAAGCAGTGTAACAACTATAAACGGCTAGTTTCGTCCCAACACCTATATAAACTCATCTATTACGAACCAACAAGCCAAGTTTTACTGTTCCATTGATTTTGCAATCATCTTTGATCATTCTCTTTGAATTAAAATCATTCATTGCTTGTTCTTACTCATTTTGATCATAAAACTCCCTTGAGCTCTATTCTTGTGTCATTGATCAATACCCATAAGCTTCAACTTGTATAATCTGTACTTCAAGAGTACAAATCCATTTCTAAACACTCTCATTTTGTTTATTTGAGTTGAAGGTAGTGAGACCCTAGTGTAAAGGTTGCTCATAGCCTAAGAAAGTGAGAGGAAGTGTAAGGGTTTGATCAAGAACCAAAAGTCTTGAAGGTTGTAGTGGTTTATCAAGCACCCTTGAAGCTTGATGATTAGTGGAAAGTTGAACGAGCGGCTTCAATCTGGACGTAGGTCACAGTGGTGGTGACCAAACTAGGATATATAGTGTTTGCAATCTCTCTAACCCTTTATCTCATTACATTAGCATTATTTGATTACTTGAGCTTATTTAGATTTACGCTTTGCATATTATTTACTTGTATTGATTTCTATTCTCTTAGCTTTACTTGTGTATAAATCATATTAATTCAAGAAAATCTTTTTCAAGAAAGAAAGTGAGGCATTTTGAGAAAATATTTTTAAAACTCAATTCACCCCCCCTCTTGAGTTTGAGGCCACTTGTCCAACAAACACATCATGAAAAATTGTTAGTGTCGGTCCATTTACTTCAACATAATCATCAGGAGTTTTTTTTTTAACAATCATGAGGAGTTTTAGATAAATGGTGTTCTGGGTTAACACCCCGGTTAGACCCATTGGGTTAAAGCCCAAAGGTTAAGCCCACTTGGAGGCCCATTTCCCTTTCCCGGATTATACATCCGACTAGCACTATAGGCAACTAGCTCAGATCGTGAATTTAAACTCATGATCCTTTCCTGCTCAACAATACCTATGATCCTTTCCCGTTCAGTAATATCCACGATCATTCCTAACTGCACACCCAACCATTATCACCGTAACTATCATAT